TAGAGGTCATTAGTCAGCTCTGGATTAGAGCCTTTGTTAGGCTTCACCTCTGCCATGTGTGCATTTAAGCCTATCAATGCAGGATGTCAATTTAGTAAGAATTAAGATGATTCCAATCTGCATTGGTAAGATAAACACCCTTAAAATACTTCAATTATTTTATCAATATATTTTAAATATAATAGATTTTAAATAGAATTTTAAACTCATATGCATTATATTACGTATGAGTCCACTTACTGAAGTAATTTCATGGAAATTTTCTAAAGACCCAAATATAGAAGGACTATAAATGGTTTTGATAGCATTGCTAATTAAAAGAACGATGACTCGGAGAAAAATTCTAGAAATACTACTTAGTAGCGAATAAGAATAATAATTCCATGAAAATCTCTTGAATATAAAATTGCATAATTTACTAGAGAGAGTGATATAATAAAATGTCAGATTATTCTTTTACCAAAGACAGAGTCATTATTTTTCAAAGATTAGATTCTACCATCTTGTTAAAAAAAGTATACAAACACACACATACACACACACACACACACACACGCATATTTCATGTGAGTATAAATCCTATTTTTAGAATGACATTTAAGAGAGCTTGATTTTATCATCAAAATTGAAGTTGATGCTAAACTCAGGGGTACTTTCATAAAGTACATGTGTCCAGATTTGTAAAATATTCTATTCTCCCAAAATGATTACTTCAATCTCTATTTGCCTTACTTTTTTTTCTTTTCTCTTTTCTTTTTTTTTTTATTATTATACTTTAAGTTCTAGGGTACATATGCATAACGTGCAGGTTTGTTACATATGTGTACTTGTGCCATGTTTGTGTGCTGCACCCATCAACATGTCAGCACCCATCAACTCGTCATTTACATCAGGTATAACTCCCAATGCAATCCCTCCCCCCTCCTCCATCCCCATAATAGGCCCCGGTGTGTGATGTTCCCCTTCCCGAGTCCAAGTGATCTCATTGTTCAGTTCCCACCCATGAGTGAGAACATGCGCTGTTTGGTTTTCTGTTCTTGCGATAGTTTGCTGAGAATGATGGTTTCCGGCTGCATCCATGTCCCTACAAAGGACACAAACTCATCCTTTTTTATGGGTGCATAGTATTCCATGGTGTATATGTGCCACATTTTCTTAATCCAGTCTGTCACTGATGGACATTTGGGTTGATTCCAAGTCTTAGCTATTGTGAATAGTGCTGCAATGAACGTACATGTGCATGTGTCTTTATAGCAGCATGACTTACAATCCTTTGGGTATATCCCCAGTAATAGGATGGCTGGGTCAAATGGTATTTCTAGTTCTAGATCCTTGAGGAATCGCCACACTGTCTTCCACAATGGTTGAACTAGTTGACAGACCCACCAACAGTGTAAAAGTGTTCCTATTTCTCCACATCCTCTCCAGCACCTGTTGTTTCCTGACTTTTTAATGATTGCCATT